ATAACAATCTGTACAACAATTCTAATAGATATATACAATGCTTCAAACAAATCTACAAATTGAACAAAAATCTATGATGATTATAATGATATCGACAAGGATTCTTACCTATTACTACATAACATTTTCTATAAATCGAAAATTTACAAATGATGTGATAACAAAAATCTGTAAAAAGAAGGTAAAAGAGTTGTACAATGCTATTAACTAAGTTTCGCTTGCTCCATTTCTTCCTTCTCAAGTTGATTTCTTCTTTTCCTCTCTAATTATAAATGATGGGATTGGTTTTGCAAGGTTAGTAGTTCCCCCTATTTATATTTCTTCCTTGTCACTTGAATTCTTCTTCCTTTTCCGTGCCATCTTGCCACTGCTCATGCAAATTGTAAAGGCTATTTACTATGCTCAACACATATTAGTTTCGCTAAAACTTCATATATTCTTATCTATGCAAATTAACACAGAGTGAGACCAATTCAACAACTTGTAATTGCCATCAGTCAAATAGTTACATCTCACTATCCTACCAATATATTGGTGCAACATAAAAACATTGACAACTTACGTATTCAAGGATTTTGATGGTGTCTCAAGTTTTGATGTTAGTTGATTGTACATTTATGACCATGTTAAAGTATTTCTACACTGTCACTGTTCTATCATAGAATGTAAAAGTTATCTAACAAGATATACATGCACATTAATTAAGATAATTGGTAACCATTTCTCCACACTATAAGAAAGGCAGTCTAAACAATATGTCATTTGACCTACGAGATACAAATTACAATCTATACTCATACCCATCTAGTTTCAAGAAATGCATTTCATTTATTATAATACTATTCTACAAAAGGTACAATGCTACAAGCATGAGGCAACAATAGTTACTGTTTAATATTGTGTGCACATCCTCTTTTCCTCTCCTTCCCATCCTTTTATAAATTTTCCTTCTATTGTCATTTAGATAGACATGGCTTTAGTGAAATACTAATTAACAACACCATAATAGTTTTACTCCGTGGTCACTATTTATTCACATAAAATAATACTTCTCCAACATGATGTCAAGGAACACTAAATTGTAACCAATTTCTTTTAGTAGGTAAGTCCAGCTAAACAATATGTACATAACATAACACGTAGCTACAATCTACACTCATACCAAGTTTAAAAGAAATCCTCTTTAATTAATCACTACTATTGCATGAATAGGTACCAAATTTCTAACATGAGGTAGTAACCAGCAATGTTTAACTAATAAAGTATGCAATTCCCTTCCCTTTTGTACCCACTATTTCTTTTTTCATTTCTCGCTCCAATGTGATGCTCTACGTATATAAATGCCAAACCACGTTAGAACCCACTTAATTAGAGATACATAAGAGTATTTCTTAACTATCAGTAGTTTATCTCAAAAAATATTTACTATTAAGAAGTATAGTTAGCCACAATTACTCAGATACCTCGTAATCCTAGAAGAATCCCTCTTTAGACATATACATGAGTGTATTTCTCAATTGTCAATAGTTTATCTCAAAAAGTGTTTGTGATCAAGAAGTACAGCTAGACACAATCACTCAAGTACGTTTTAATCTTGAAGGAATCCCTCTTTGTTGTACTCCATATTTCATTTGTGTAATTTAAAATGCTTAGTTTGCTTATCTTTGATCTTTGTATGTGTCAGTCTATTGTGATGTGAGCACCCATACACAGTTGGTAATATAGTCTACACGGTACGGTGTCGCTACTATCTTGCAACAAGAATAAAAAAAGAAAGCAAGTAACAATTACCTTCATACTCTCCTTGTTATTTTATATGCCTATAAATATCCAAGGTCATTTAATTTGTCTACTGAGTCAAATTTACAAACACTTGGTATGCATAAGTTCCCTGTGCATACCTCCCCCAAGTTGGTTCTTAGAGTATCTAACTTGTACTACCCAAACGGTTTCCTTGTTTAGGAGTTTTCGCCAAAGTTTCAATTTCATTATTCATGTCACAGCGTCTTAAACAAGTTGTACAAACAAAACCATGAAAGTAAGTTCATCCCCCTTTAGTCACAAAACAAGCCAAATATTGCAATGAGTTTGCAATATTCTTATCTATGGGTTTAGTCCAATTCGATTAAGTGTATCTCTGCTTCAGATGTCACCAACTTTCGCCATTTTGTAGCCTTTATGAAAAGTTCTTGTCCCGCAGCAGTTAGTTTTGCATTCCCTCGGTACATTAACTGGTAACACTGTTTCTGTAATACTTCCTCCAAAAACTTCTCATCTAAAACTTCCCAATTTGGGGCAGAGATATTATTCTGTCGATGCTCTGAAATTGTGAAGGAATGGTCACAAGATAAGTTTTTGGAGGGAGACCAAAAGTCTATTGCATTTGAAGATTTTAGAAGAATAGTTGCCGCTCACTAATTTGAGTTGGAATTCTTGGAACAAAAGCTGAGGTTTTTTAACGGAGCCCATTAGCCCCTCATATGTTTTTTTTTTTAATTTTTTTCCCTACTCACTTAGTGAAACAGCGTCCTTTTCTTTTACTGCTGCTCCCATTACACATGGTCCATTGCAGTCGTCTCATTCCCTTTTGTGAGAGGGCTGCTCAGGACAGTCCACCTGATGACCGTCCCAGCCCCAAATCCCCATGTCTTGCTTCCTTTTACTGGATAGCATCATTCAAGACGTACATTCTATGGCAGCTGACTAATGGTGGGGTGACAACTCGAACAAGCAAAAAATACACTGGATGAGCTGGAGCAAGCTGTGCACTTCCAAGGACCAAGGAGGTTTGGGTTTCAGGAACATGAAGGCGTTTAACTACGCAATGCTAGCAATGCAAAGTATTTTCCTGATACCGATTTCTTCCAAGCAAAGTTAGGACATCATCCTTCCTTGACTTGGAGGGGAATAATTGAAGGCAGAAAAGGTTGCAGCTTGAGAGTTGGGTGAGGTGAATCTATCCGCATTTGGCATGATCGTCGGCTTCCCAGACCAAGATCTTTTAAAATCTGTTCTCCTCCTCGCGTGTTGGATAGTCAAGCTGATGTCTCTGATCTTATCATTCGAGAGCTCCACATCTGGAACACAACCTTGATGGATGAAATATTCTGGGAAGAGGTAGCTAAATTGATTAAGAGCATACCACTTCCCAGAGTTTCTGCTAAGGACAGATGGATATGGCATTATTCGAATGGTAAATTATCTGTAAAAAGCGTTAACCATGCAATAATGGATTCAGACTTCCTTGATGTCGGACAAATTGACCTTCCAAGCTCAAGTTCCGGCAAAGATAATATTTGAAAGAAAATCTGGTCCCTTGAAATACCGAACTAAACCAAGCATCTTCTCTGGTGAATATGTCATAATTCCTTGTCTACGCCTGATAATCTCCATAAAAGAAGAATTTCTGTTGACTATAGCTGCGCGCTTTGCAAAAATCCACATGGAGATCTGTCTCACATTCTATTTGACTGCCCTATATTCCAGTACAGATATGGGCTATCACTTCGGTGGACAAAAAAAATCAATGCATGTCGCCAATTGGGACCTGATATTTGGACGAAGGAAATTCGTAGAACTTTGCCATCAAAAAATAGCGAACTTTTTGCTACTCTATATTACGAGATACGGAGTAACAGGAATGATGCAGTCTTTAAAGGTAAAGTTCAAACATCTCTCTGACTATTGTCAATTTTGCTCTCCAACATCTAATAGCTTTCAAGGAAGCAAATGCTTGCGCTATGGTAATCCCTTATCAAAATCCATCCCTGTCCTGGTCGATGCCTGTTGCTCCCCACTACAAGGTGAATTTTGATGCTTCAATTTCTACCATCAAGCAAGTAATTGGTGTTGGTGTGGTCATCCGAAGTTGTGTTAATGAATCTTTTTTCGGTTTTCAAAAAAAAAAGTAAGTTATTAGGTTCAATGTATGGGTCGAGTTTTAAAACTTTAGTTTTAGCCAATAATAAATAAATTAATTAATAAAATATGGAACCTGAAAGTTCAAAAGAGAGCGCGGGAATGTTCGCCCTGTGCCCTCAAGTTTCCTAAGCTCAATGCTTCCTGTGGTAATCCATCACCAGTTAGGATTGACTTAGTGATGCTAGTATTTATTAGATGGTCTATGGATGGTGCTCATACCCAATTAACAGTATATATAAAGTCGCTAGAGGGATGTAAATAAAATGTCACTAGAGTATTCAAAACAAAAAATGTCACTTGCTGTTACTCCCTCCGTCCCAAATTTAAAGTCGTTTCTTGAGACTGCAACTTTTTATGTACGGTGGACTATTATTGGCAACCGATGCTTTACTTCCAAATTTACCCTGCTGGAATTACATTAGTCAACTAAAGTTTGTGTTTTTCAAAGAGTCATAATTCTGTGGGTCCCACCTCAATCAAATGCATCTCTTCATACGTTAAGGACACGCATCAATAGTGGCCTTATAAACTGAGAGTTGTCCTGCACACTCTTCGAACTTCTCTAAATGAGAATAAATGGTGGGTCCTATTAAATTTCTTGGAACTTTTTTACATGTGCACAACAAGGGTAAGAATGGAACTCTGGAAAGGAAAAATTTTAGCATGACTCTAATTTTGGGACAATGAAAAAGGTGAAACATGACATTAACAATGGGACGGAGGGAGTACTAAATTTACCCTTACCATCAGAAAGAATTATATCATTTAACTACCCCACTTTCCTATAACCACTTCGCTTTCTGACAACCATTAAACTTGTCTACCACTTCTCTCAAACATTTTGCTAGGGTTGATTGAATTCTTTCAAACTACCATTTTTCTTCATCAGTTGAATGCTTGCACAGAGACCATTTTAATCTTTCCAATATATATTAAAATCTCTTCAATGTATTTTCACATGATACATTGTCACAAATTGGCATACATTTAGAGAGGAAATCTTTGTAGAAGGATAATTTTGGTACAGCAACAGAAAAAGATCTTTGTCGAACTCATTTGCTTTACCATAATACTTAAAATTTCAACAAAAAATTACTTTTTTAACATATGTTTTTATTTTCATTAGTCGTACACACGTTGGGTGTGCTTCATGCACTAGTATCCGATTAAAGCTGAACCATGACACTACCTGAAGGTAAATGTAAGGGACTTCGACATTTTACTTGGTGGTTTGCCAGTGAAACAATCGTAGCTATGTTATAAAGACTTGTAACCACTTCCCAAATAAAGCTAATTCTCACAAGAATAAGTTTCTTCCGCTTGTTGCATTTGCATGTGGGCAAAGAATGTTTCCTTTGTTTATCTATCTCTTCCGACAAATTATTATGCCATCACCAATTGCAACCTACAGAAACACGGGGATTAAAGACAAATCTAGCTTGTGTTGTTAAGAATCATTAAACAAAAAAAATGGGTATACTTACCATACTTGTGCTTACGCGCTCATCCTCCATCAAATTCTTGTTAAAATTCCTTATGCTAATAGTCTTGGCATCATTTACCTGCTCACTTATTGCAATTAGCATTGTATGATACCAAAATTAGGCAAAAATTTCAATGGCTATCATTTTACCAATGGATCAGCAACTTTCCCATGCCAGAGGACATTATCAAGCACAATAACCCCTCCAACTCTTATCTGCAAAAGAACAATGAGTTTCAACACTCAACCACCACTAAAAATTGTCCAAAAAAATCTTCCAAGAACCTAAGAATGTATTTGCATGCCAACAACATAAGGGAAAAATTTTAAAATGCTGTGTTGCAAACCAGCTGTAGCAGCAACTCGAAATATTCCTGATACATTCGCTTCTCAGCATCCACAAAAGCAAAGTCATAACTACATGAAAGAGCTTAACTATTTGAGTACACATATAGCAAGAGACAAGCTAATGATTAAAAGAAGCAAGGCTGGGAAGTGTTTGTGTGTGCGTGTGCATGTGTTTGTGTGTGTGAGAGAGAGAGAGCCTAAAATCATCCATTTGCAAAGCCATCAGCTATTAAAATCTTCAACATGCTATGTACAACAACAGGTGTTCCAGTGTCACAACACCATATAGTTATTCAAAATGCTAAGACAATCTTGCTGCTGACAAGGAGTACCTGCAACTTTCACCATTCAAAATCATAGACTTTAAAGTATCTGCAGCAAGTCCATGTTTCACATCAACCTAATTGCACCAAATATGTTAGCAAAACAGAATTACTGCCAGAGACGCATATCCAGTAGGATAAGCTTGATTAAAATGTAATTTGGTTCAGAAGCACGTTTAAGCATCACATAACCAACATAATATATAAGAGGCTGCAAAATTCAACTATAACAAAGAGATCAAGAAAAAAAAATCTATTTATTTCTAATATTGTTCATAGTTTTCTAAGAATAAGATCCTACTTCCTGGTGTTATACTGTTCTTGAATTTTGTAATTAATATTGTTAATTTTGTAATTAATTTTCTAATATTTGTTTAGAATGCTCCAGTAAAATGTCCTAAGAAATATGGCTTCTAGAAGATAATTTACACATGCTGATGTCTATTATGTCTGGGACAGAACATTTTGTAACACCAAGTATTATGTAAGACAAAATAGTCACCTTGTGTGAAACACCAGCACGCTTGTAGTATCTTCTGGCAACTTCAAGTGATTTTGCATCTCTCTCACATGCAATTAACTCACCTCCTTCTGGCAGGGCCAAAGCAATAGCCAGAGATGAATATCCCTGTAGAGCAAGAATGTCATAACATGTATCAAAACTGTTCAGAAAGAAGTGGTATACTCTTGAGATACTCTTTTCTTTCCCCGTGCACATTTTCAAACCATGGGGAGCAATAAATTGTGAATATAGTCACAACAACAATTTGATGAAAGAAATGCAAAACAGAAAGATCATGTGTGCATGATTAAAAATAACTACAGGGACAAGTACTCTAGAGCTTGTGATCAAGAGAGATGACAATTATAACTCTAAAAAAACCTGCAAATTCCCAAAAAACGGTAGCTCCATTCTTTGTGCACAACCCGGCTTGTTAGGTTGCATGCAAGCCTACCAATGCCTTATAAACTTTAGCTGAAAGTTCCAAATTTTGGTTCAAAATCTCTCAACTGTCTGTCACTGACACAGTTAAGATCATGGATATTTCATTGACAAATAGGAAAGGCAACAGGTTTACAACTTTCAAAGAAGCAGAATGTCTTGCTATTTTTTAATCATATAACTAGTAGTAATAAGTACAAAAAGAATACAAAGAGTTCCTATTTATCAACTAAAGTTGGAGATTCTTTTATTGCTTTGCTCTGCCTATTTCAAATATAATATTCGAAGTAAGCTAGTTTTAACATGGCAAAACGAATACAATGCTACTTATTCATAGCTCAATCTGCATTCACTGATTGATATTCAGCAGTAGATTGAATTGTCTCAAGCAGTAAAAAATATTGCCCGCGTGAAGGAATAATCTTCTCTTCTAAGAAACAAAACAAACCAGTATTAGCAGGTCAAATCATCAGCAGGAGAGACCAGAATAAGAACATTTATAGAATTATAAAACACGGTAATTGATGGACTCCTTGCTGTTTCAATAACCCAGTCTGATTTATTGCAGCGTAATTTAATGCATACGCTAACATTTTGGTTCTTTAGACTTTATAGCTTCAAGGTTAAAGGTAATCCTGTAATTTGAGAAATGCTGGAATAGGCCATCAGAATGTGTTTCTTAGAGTCAAAAGGTTTAAAAGTTTTGGTGGCTTCTTCTGTGCTAGATAGAAAGAATGAAACAGATTTGTTTTCTTGAGTGTATTTAATGTGCTGTATCTATGAGAAATGAAGGCAGCCTCACTACTTCTAAGGAAATCTAGGAGTAATTTCTAGAATTTCTATATACTTCTTGCTTCCTTGCCGCACCTAAACTCTTACTGCAGCCCTCTCCTAGCTCAAATTCTTTCCTAAATAATATCTATTCATAGAAAAAGACCCTGTAAAGGTTTTACAACTAAAAATCTTAGAATTAACAGTATATCAAATGCTTCTTTAGTGCTGCCTGAGTCCATTTGAATTAAGTAGTACTATTTGACTTATTGTGTAAAAAGCCATAACAGCAAACTACGCAGGAGTATATCAATCAAGCAGTTGCAACTACCAATGCACAATTAATGGGAGAGATAAAATGGGGTCTGACTAAGGAAAAATTAAACAAACGGATGGTGCAGAGGTTCTTAAAGGACTTTACAGAAGCATCTAGAGAGTGTTCTGCTTGATATACAAGTTTTCAAGTCACTGCAGCCTCCCCACAACCTGCCGTACATCAAAGCTTTCTCAGTTAGGTTGATCAATACTTTTAGCCAATTGTCCCTGTCAACTAATCACAGATGCAAGAAGCCATCAAAGAATTCTTTTTTCTCAAATTCATTATCATTTAATCTCCTAAGAAATTGCAAAAAACAAGAACTTCCCACATGCATTGCCCTCTTTTTTATTAAGGCAAGTTCCGCCAGGGTCTGGTTGGAGAATATTCTCTCAAAAAAATTTACTTTGTATAGTCAAATTGGATTAGCACGCCCATCTATTTCTGGTGGAAAGACTCCCAGGATTGAAAAGAAAATGAGAACTCAAATATCCCAAAATTGTAGCCCCATTTACTTTGTCTACCCCAAAGATGGTTTGGATCAATGCCCAAAGTGTTACACTGGTGTACTTGGGGAGTTTTGCTTCAGAGCATCACTGGACTAGTCAAAACAAGTTGAGATTCACCAAACATTGTGAAGTCAACCAATAAGCGAATTATGTTAGCCTAACCTACTAATATTGATGAATGCAGAGAACTCAAATGGAAATGATTAATTGCAGAACTAAGGCATACTAATTCAATATCTTACTCAATATATATTCAGAACCATACTGTAAACACAAAACTAAAAATGGAAGATGTCAAAACCTCATGTTATTTGATGTTAATTATAAATCATGTGTTATTGGATTAAATCTTGACAAGCAAATTATGCTACTCTTTCAACATTGGAAATACTCTATCAGGGTGGAAAGGTACATTCTGCCAATTTTATATCTCTATGGGGCCTTGAGACTGAAAAAGTCTCTCAATGGATAACAATCCACCTCATCTGATGCTCAATACCTTGGTGGGAGCTCATTGTGGATTCTTTACCAGGGAAGCCTGTCTACAATCATTAATTCACCAATAGCATAACATGTTACATGTTCCAATATCATATGACTTATTTCCCTTCACCCAACAAATCAACAGAATATAAGCCTCTTCATTTCTAACATGAAAATCCAGTTACTGACATAATGCTCTAGAGCTGCTCTCCCAAAATCCTTTTAGCTTCACATGAGTCATCATCTCACTTTCTCACTCTAACAAGGTGCAATTATTCTCTGTCTAACAAGATGCAATTATTGTAAATGGCAAGCCTATGGCTATGGCACAATCCTGTAGAAAAACTTTTGTGATAGACTAACAGATGTATGGAACCATAAAGATGTATATGAAGTAAGTCAAATTACTTTTCCTCTATATAGTCCTAAAAACAACTAAGGGCTTGTTTTCGGTTGACTACTTTAGCTGATTATAGATTCTGATTTTGGATAATCAGTTTATGTGATGTTCTCATTTGCTTTTATATTTAGATTATAGATTTTTTTTTTATTGGAAAAAAGCTAAAATCCATAATCAACCAGTGAATAGCTTTTGCTGATTCTGATTATTCTCTGTAATCACCTTCCATAATAAAGATTTTGCAAAATCTGAAGCAAATAAGAACAAGGCCTAATACTCTATAATCACACTCCCCAGTGAGTACGAGTGGCAATTCAGATTAAGTTAATGTATTTGGAGATGTGAACATCCAGCTCAGTAGGAAATATTAGGCTTGAACACATCCTATGCAGCAAAATAACTTATAAACATTTAAAGGTCCCCAGGTCTCAACTTATCCTATCATGTTTAGAATAGCAACTATGAAGCTTGACACTGAATTTACTCAATACTATTGATTATAAGTTGGACACAAGTGAACTCATACATACAGTGTAAACCCCAACTTCAATGCACCTTTTAGCTCCCAGGATTTGGACAAGCATACTGAGTAGTTGGGCTTGATCAGGAGAAACCTGTTAACAAAGATCAATTTAAAAAATAATACACCTGTCAACAGGAAAACAATGAAGCATGTAGCAATACACACACACGCACAAAATAATTTAATTGTCCATGCAAAGCGAACAAATTCTAGAAGTGCATGCACGCACACACGCACACACACACACACAATAATTTCTTTATCCATACGAAGTGAACAAAATCCAGAAGTCAGTAACTATGGAACAAACCCATCACACCTGCATCTGACTACCATGCATAGCTGAGGTCTCCTCTCTAAGTTCACGCAATATCTGAAGCAGGGTAAAACAAACTTTACACGACATAAGTCTCTATATGGAGAGACAGGGCATAAAGCAATGCAAATCAGAGGATCTTTGACCTTTGACTCTCTAACATTGTTTAATATGTAGTTGTAGAGCCGCGGAGTAACACTAATAACCTGCTTACTCCCATACTTCTTGTTAGTTGCGACAGTCACTGCATCTGATTTACTAGACTCAGAATTGGACCAAGGGAGGCTTGAAGCAGTAGCCACTGAGGCTACATCCCTGTTGCATTTGACAACAAATTGGGTAACCCAAAAACCACGGACAGATAGTCGAGGGGCCAGTGCTATCATTGGGATTGCCCAATGATATTTGATCATGCAGCTGGACATTGTTAAATCCTACAGCAACCAATGACTTCACCACATGCTCTGCCAAAAAAATTGACGAGTTCAGTGTTCTCAGAACGCACAAAAAATCACATGTTTATCTAAGACATGCTAAAGCGTCTCAACATGTTTGGCTACATATTGGTATTGCAGCCATATCACATTAAGCTTTCAAGGGTTTAGTTAATTATAAATACTATCCCTCCAGTTCTAAAAATTATCACTACGCTTGTTGCTTTTCCTTTTGAAGCTTTAGAACTGATTTTCGCAAAGACTCATTTATATTTAAGGCACATTATACGCTGCAAGCAAAGATAGCATAAACGCTAACAAAGTGCTTTGGCACTATATGTAGTTAAACACACATACCTTCAGAAAAGATTGAGTCTTCGACCAAACAGAGTGCTTCTGCAGTATATGTAGTCAAACACATATACCTTCAGAAAAGATTGAGTCTTCAACCAAACTAAAGAATTCTGAACTGTATATGACTTATCAGTTGCAGCAAAAATGCACAGATTCTGAAGATCAGATGCTTGCCTGAAAACAACTTTCTTTTGTATTAGTGTGAACTGCCAACGTATTCGCACTGACTATTTTTAAAGAATGTAAGCACCATTAAGCATGATAGAAGATGCAATTTCTTTGCGTTTGGAGGATTAACTCTTCTACTTTTCTTGAATTAGTTCAGATTTGTGGAATATAAAAGGGAAATTCATTAATGCTGAAAGTGCTTTCACGGACTGTAAGTTTGTCAGGAAGTTTTTACAAAAGATGTATCTTTATGTAATTATTTGATCGAACTTCTTTATCCTCAAAGAAATTGAGAATTGTCTTTGAACACTCATTAAGTGTTTCTTCACACATGTCAGATGAAGTCTAGAACGGAGAGAAGAGTTAGCTAACAGAAACTTTTCCATTCAACCAATTTCACCCTAAACAACATAACTGTTTTAATACAGTAAAAATTGCAACACATGTAAAAACATTCCAAATTTCACTTTTCCATTCAACCATCAAACAGAGGGGAAAAAACAAAAAAGAAGATCTAGATTTTACGTTCCATTCCAGGAAAAGCTGCATATACATTGTTTTTCCTTGCATAAACTTTCCTCATCTTTTGTGCTCCTACCTGTTTTGTGTTTTTTTCTTTTTTTTCCCGAGTTCAAACATAGCCATAGAAGGAAGAACCCAAAAAATTTCCAGAAGTGACATCGTTGAGTTTTGGAGAGAAAAGAGAGCCATTTCCTTTTCCCTACGGTCATGACATAATAGTTTCAGCCCAAACCAAGCGCCTCAAAGTTAGGAAAAGTTTCTTCTAACTCTGCCAGATGAAAACAAGCAGCACCTCCTGAAATCTAATGATGCTCATGTGAAAAAAAAAAAAATTTAAATCTTTTTAAACCGTTGAAGACATCCCTTACAGATGTGATGAACACATAGGGATGTCTTACGGTTGTTATGCATTATAACACATCAAGAATACCTATATGTTCATTTCGGAACTTAAATCAAATTATTCTCCAGCAATTATTAATACATCTATTGCGCCATTGCCAAGGTTCTGTATGAATCCAGTTACTAGCATATTCATATCGATTTACTGGGACTAATATCAAATCTGGGATAACTTAACCATAAGTAACTTCAGAAGTACATATCCCCACATATTTTAAACTGGAAACAATCATAACCACGGCAATGTTGGTTTAATTCCATTTGAACAACGAGAAAATTCATGAAGTAAAAGAACAAATACATAAAATGCATAAACAGCAGTCCTTAGAGTAAAACTACCCAAAAAAATGAATAAGTACCTTTTTCAGCACAATTGTCACTTTTCGCTTAAATGGCCTTTGCAATTGGCAAGTCCTGCAAGCGAAAACAAGGTAAACTGATCGAAATGAAATTTACCCAAAAAAATGTCCTTTAACGAAGAAAAACTAGTCTATGTCCTTTCACAAAGCATCCAATAAAGAAACAATCGGACTAACATAAAGATTTTGATGTTAATTCGTCACCCGAGGAAGAATTATTAGGGAAGAAGAACAGCCATGAACGAACTTTATTGCAGAGAAGAACTTCAAGGTAGGGAAAGTTAGGGATAATTTCACAAACCTCCCCTGAGGTTTCTGACACTTGTATTGACAACTCTCAAGGTTTTAAAAACTTCATTGAGCTCCCTGACAGAGATTTGGGGCCCTTCCTAACCTCATGAATGCCAAAATTACCAGTTTGTCCTTTAAAGTTGAGAATAATGACTGAGATCAAAAGCATCTTCACATTGCTAATTAAACATATAGATAAAGAAGGGAAGCCCCCTGCCACCTGGGATGGTCGTCCACCCATGTGGCAACTGGAGATTGGCTGGAGGTGATATGGCACTTGGTTGTCCTCCCTCTTGTATTTGTTTGAGGGCTTTTCATCTTCTTTCCCCCGATAAACCAAACGACGTCGTCTGTTCCTTCTTCTTTTTTTTCTTTTCTGTCTTTCAAAACGTAGCAGCATCAATCAATGTCAAGCTCTTGAAGATTGGTTCCTATACAGAACTCCATTTTGTCCTCTGGACAAAACTCCATTTTTGCCATAAGACCCAGAAGTCTCCCCTCAATTTCCGGCATTTGATTGTACTTGGGAGAGATTGTAATCTCGATTGGAAGGTCCAGATATATTCTTCTTCTGATGAGTGGGTGCTTAGAATTTGATGGACGATGGGCTCGGGATAGAAAATGGTTGGTAATCTTCTTCCCCTTCCACTCCCGATTCTCTCTCTTGTTCTTCTTCATCTTCCTCCCTCCCTTGAGTCTCTTTATGGGTCTCTTTTTTTGTTTGGCTACTCACAAGTTTTATTTTTTCCCCTTCATTTTCCCTTTTTTTTATGCATAGTTTCTTCCATTTTTGTTGCCGTGACTTTCCTATAGTTTTTTTTTGGGGTTGCTCAAAAAATCTTCAACAACCTCTAAGAAGAGGAAATATAAGGGTTTTGTGTTGAAGTTTTTCTTTTGGGTTCCATTTGGTTTGTTTCTCATCATTTCATCCTATGCTGGTTTCTTTTTTCTCCTACTTGCTGTATTTGCTGGTGATTTCAGACCCCAACAGCCTGAGAATAGGAGAGTTTTGCTGTGATTTCTCGAAAATTACTAGGCTCAGGGATATGGTTGACGAAGAAGAGGATGAAAAAAAGATATTGAAGAAGGTCTGAAATTCTAGGGCTTGTAGCGGCCAAAACTTGATAAGCACGTGGATTCCTAAAGCGCCTGATAATTTTTTCCCCACAATTCGGGAAAATTTTATACTATGATGGCTCTAAAAATATAGAATTTTCAATCTGAATCTATTAATTTTTTGTGCTCGCCCAGATTCTCTCTCTTTCTCTATATATATGGGTCTCTGTTGGTAATCAGTTTTTCCATCGCTGCCTTCTGGACCTGGTGATGAGATCTTCTGTGAAGGTTCTTTTTTATTTTTATTTGTTTTGATAATTTTTCCTTTTCTTGAAATTTCTTTAACTTTTTATTAGTTATATTTTGATTTTTTTTTGTGGTTCGATTTTTAAATCTCAAATATCGAAAGTGCTTTACCCCATATTTTTATGACCTTGGATCCTTTTAGTTTTAGTTTATCCTTACAATCATTAATGATCTAAGATTTTAGCTCCGAGGACTTGGACCATGGAGGGGTTTTGTCTTAGTTGTTTGGCATTCTCCATTTTTTTTTTCACCATGTAAATGGTCTCTCACTTTCTTAAACTTTGACTCTTTAAATGATGACCTGCACTTTCCTTGCAAAGTGACTTGTTGAATGCTCTGGATTACTATCATGGAAATAAAATTTGCTTGTAATTTCTATTTATTTCATATATACTGAAGGCTCATCTTATTTATTTTTTTGCTTACCCCCTCCCCCCTCTTCTTTTCTATGTTAATGAAAGTGTGACAATATGTGGTTGTCTCCCGTTATTTTCCATGCAGGAAGTTCTGTCTATTTGCCCCTAATTTGATATCTCACCCCAGGAATGTGCATGGCGCTTCAAGCATTTTTATCTCCTGAATCACAGGGCTACCTAAATGTTTTGACCGGGTTTGTCTTCATTTTATTTGCTCATCTTTTTTCTGCCTTCGGACTCAGTTTCTGTTGCAATAGGGTGGAAAGGCTTATAGAATTGGGAGAAGGGCTTGTGCTCATGATGGCATGACAACAAATGATTGGGAAAACCCATGAATGCTATCTTTATCATTGGATATTTCCTGATGAGTGTGGTTCAGGTTTCCTTAAAGAATGATTAACTGGTTGAAGCTACTCCCACCTCTGTCGCTCATCTTAACTGATAAAAATCACCCAAACTTTTTTTGCATTCAGGTTACTACTCCTTACCAAAAATCTTAGCTTTTAGATATGGAGCAAGGTCACCATATAAACAAGAAACTTTTGGTCAAAGCTTCATGGTTTTTTTTTTTTGAAAAAGGATACATAAAGTACGGCCCCTTTATTGATATATAACATCCAGCCTTTTCTTTGTCATCCTTTGGTCTTGGAATTATGATTCTTGTCACAAAAATGGTACAATCGACAACCATTTTTCCCTTAAAAAACCCATGTCTCTATGACTGTTTGCCGCATTTTATCTGATTAAATGGCTTTATTATTTTTTAGTTGCTGTGATTGGTAGATGCTTGATGTCACTGGAACAGTTGCTTAGAGTCTGCATAGAGCAAATGTACCTTACATCTGATTGAAATTCTTGAACTATCAAATGAAGTTTATTCACTCCCTTTATATTTTCCATATTTTAGATATGAGGATGGTTCCATGGCTTGGTGGGATGTAAGGAATCCAGAGGTTCCAATGAATTCTGTTAAGTTTCATAAAGAACCAGGTATAGTGGTGCTGGCTCCATATACATCATCTTATTTGTTGATTGCAACTTCTCTCTCCCCAAGAAACCCAACAAGAAAAAATTGAGATCTCGTTCCTTTTTTGCAGTTTTGAGCCTTTTTATTGATGGGGCATGCAGTGGTGGTATCTCTGGAGCTGCTAATGAAAAACTTGTGTTTTTCTCTTTGGATTATCAATTGGTAAATTCAGGCTTGATAAATTCTTATCCCTAGCATGTTAAGTCACTTTATTGCATGGCATTTTTACACTTTCAGCTAACAGGACGTGGCATGCTGCTGTTAGTCATTGCTGCCTTTGCCTTGCAAAAAAGAAATATAAGAGAAGATAAAAATATAACATGCCATTTGTTGGCAGCTCCTCTATGGTGTTTTCATTTCCTGTTCTTGAAGTAAATTTGATGCTAATATACCTCAATCAAGCAATCTTTTGTTTTGCAATTGGTGACTATTTAACATCAGAAGGTGCCTATTTTGAACTTTAATTTTCTTAGTGTGAGGATTACTGTTTTCCTTAATTTTGCATTCTTGACTTCCAAGTGGTCTCATAATAGTCTCCTCCTCGTCTGGCAAATGCCAAGTGATCACGAGATGTTATGCTCGTTTGTAATGTGTCAGATGCACCTTACTTAAAAACAAGTTCAGAACTTTCTGGTTTGCAATTTTGAAGGATTTAAATTGCAGTTGGTCTAAAAATGATGATTGAATTGTAGTTTGAACTTGAGCTGCATGTGATAGGCATCATTGACATGCAATATTTCTTTGAGCAGTAGCCAGCGGGCAGGAGGAAGAGACTTTTGGTCATTTTTAATGTCTTAAATTTCAAATATCTATGTTATTCATCTTTCTACCGGCTTGCGATATAGGGATCAGCACTGGTCAAGAAAGAAATTACATTGGAGCGACCTGGAATAGCAGGAACATCAATCCGGCCAGATGGCAAAATTGCTGCATTTGCTGGCTAGGATCACCGGTTAATCACTCTTGGACTTTTTTGTGAGCCGCCCTGTTCAGAAAAATCATCTTTGTTTTTTTCATATGGTAGCCCATCAGTAATTCATGTAATTTTTGTGAATATTAAATAGGAGCAACCCTGAAACAAAATTTAAGACCAATTTTTAAGATAAGTATTTTTTATTGTCTTTCACTTTGATTGACTACATTGATTGACACTGTTGGCTTCAGGTTTGTCTTCATTTTTTTCTGGTATTTTTTGGTGATTTTTCCTTGGGCTGACATTGGCAAGAAAAGCAGCTATGCGAAAGAAGAAGAATGAACAGCAGCTGGCGGCAGGTTTTTTTTTTAACTATTTGCTATTTTTTCTTGCATAGATGTTTGTTGCTGTCGTGGCTCATGAATGGCATTGTTTTGGGTTTTCTGAGTTTTTTAGAATTATAGAAATAAAGCACTTTTCATCTTTGTTTGTACAATCTCTGTTTCTTAGGTCTCAAAAGTGTTTTTTTTTTTTTTTTGCTTTTCTCTGTTTTATCTTCTGCTGCAATTTTTTTTGTTGAATATGTGGTGAACTGTGATAGAAATAAAGCATTTAGAATTATAGATATAATGCTCTTTTTATGCTGCGAAAGCGAACTGTGATAGTTTGACAAATGGAAAGAATAAAATGAGGCTCTTTTCTCAGTATTTTTATTTTGTTTTGGTTTAGCTCACCTATTTTAAAATTGATTATTTTGCACCTTTCGGTATATTATCAGATGTAAGTCATCCTTCAGAAAGACAAGGATTGGTGGCTTCATGTTATCTTTGTGTTTTTGTCACATTTTTAGAAAAGCTTTTTTTTTAAAAAAATGATTCTACTATATCTGCTACTGGGTTAGGGATGATGTGTAATTATCATATCAAATTGTTTGGAAAGTTTGTTATGTTGTTATAGGGAGTACAAAAACTTTACAAAAATACTAATTTATTCTTTGTAATTTTTCCCCTTCTGATTTCTTGTGTATTAGTGGAAATCTTATGCGATTCTAAGTGTCCTTTCATGCAGTGCATTGCGTTGTTGTCCACTTGCTTGGGGTGGTTCGAAATTCTCTCATGTGTTCACCTATGGTGCAACAAAAGTAACTTTAATTGTAAGGCTCTTTAATTCTTTCATCATTAAAGGTATGTAGCTTGTTAACATATAGCTAAGCTACTGCATCACGGTTTATAAGACTCATTAATCCTTTCATCGTTAAAGCTACTCTCTCTATGTATACTCTGAATTTGTTCTCATTCTGCTTCTTTCTTATTTCTGTTTAATGGAAAACAGGCATAGCATGGATCACAGCTTGTGTTGAAATGAGTTTTAAGGATGACAAATTTTTATTTGGCCTGTCCAAACTGTGAACGGCCTAATAATTTTCAATACACATGAGAAGTTTTATGCAGATATTGTCACTCTGTAGTTCACCTTTTACCTAGGTACATAAGCAGATATTGACATCTCATCTATTTTCGTAGACCTTTTCTTACCTTTTTTCTATTTATTGTATAAAATTTAAATCATGGTTCGTTATCTTAATTATTGCTAAAAACTTAATTTGACCAGCTTTGTTGCGTCTAACTTGCATGGAAGAATGCTCATGTGCTGCATCAAACCTTCCTGTCCCAAGTTTAGGGCACTTAAAGAAGTTGCCTTCACTATAATGAATTCTCACATTTGGTTGAAATTTTTGGCATTGACAATGCGAACTTCAATAGCCTCAATATTCAGAACTGATAATAATAAAGAATGCAGGGTATGCAATCAATATAGAGACGTCCAAGGAGCTTTACAGACACTTGAAATCATTCCTTGTTAATCCTCTCCCACCGTTTAACAAGCAAATAAATGGCAGCAGCCGCAAGAATGATCGAGAGAATGCAGCAAATAGGATTGGCAGATATCGATACAGCTTAGCCTATTCCTCTTTGAGTAGTTATTGGAGCCTTGAAAGCTGATTTTGTTCCAATCTTGACACTAAGTTCTTTCGTTCTTTTTATATTTTTAGCAAATTGGATTATGTACTTTGAATGTAATTTATATTCTATAATGTGTTCCCTAATTCATGGTATTTAATAAACATTTGGGAAGACCATTTTAACTCCTGTATTAATTATTATTTCGACCTAAAACCAAGTTCTTGACATAGATGATTTGCAATCATAGTTTACTTAGTATTGTATAATTTATTTTCAATCACAATTTACATTGCTGCTAAATAATCCTGGGCACCAAGCAATATTGGACATTAACACCGTGCATTTGCACGGTGATCACCTCCTAGTTATATTTAACTAGAATAATAGAAATTTAACTTCTAATTAAAAGTCCATTACACAAAGGCGCCAATAGAAGAAGGAAATTGGCGCCATTTTTGTGACTGGTACAATTTGACAAGGATGATTGAACAAATGCATCTTACTTTGTAGTCATATAACTAGAGGAAGAAATAAAGAAGGAAAAAACAAAGGAAAAAGAAGAAAACAATGGACTTTAAGTGAAGTTGTCCTTCATTTTTATTAATGGTTTAATTGCTTGTTTCGCTTTCCTTTTATTTCGCTTTCTTTAATTAGCAAGTCATTTGAGGGCATTTGAACCCCAATTTGTAATAGTTAGGGTATTATTTTCCAAGTTTTCCCCCTTTAGATTGTAGTAGGCATCCCCTTTTTTGTAATAGATAGGGCTTGTGTACTATGTGTTTGTGTGTACCTATATATCTATGTGTTTAATCGCTTTCCCTAGGATTCTGCATCTAGATAAGCATGCTTATGTGTTACGTGCTATGTGAAACTATGTGCTTTGCATGTCTATTTGCTTTTATAATTATATCTGATTATATGGATGGAATGCACGTTACCGTGGCTAGTCCAATGCTAGTCATGATTTTCCCCTCGAACTCTTACAATGTCCAATGCTTGTGAGAGAATATTAGTTAAGGGCTAGTCCAATGCTAGATCCAATAGGGCCGTCCCTCGCTAGTACATACTTGCATGCCTTCACTACATCTTTATTCATTTTTCCTTTTTAGTTTTACATTTTTGCATGACCCTTCACTCCCTTTCCGGCATTTGAAACACGATTTTTAGGATTTTGCATTTCATTTTAATTATTAGGATCATCTGCTTGATTAGGTTAGGGAGTTACCCTTCTGGTAAGGAAAACAGACGAGTTTGGCTACACATAGTCTTAGCACGCTTGTTTTCTTTCTAACTAAAAGGCAAATCAAAAGTCACGATTTAGGGTCTCCCCGTACCCGTTTTGATTGCATTCTTTTAGGGCTCGTGCATTTTCAAGGCACATTACCAATTGCACTCTCACTTTATACATTTTTACTTCACACACTCTCACTTTATACATTCTCACTCTGCACACTATCACTTGCCACTCCCATTCTATCATTTTGCACACTATCACTTCACTTTACACTTTCTCACATCTGAACACTTACACTTTATATGTATTTATTTGCACATGTGCACCTTACACTATCCCTTACACTCATTTGCACCTTTGCACTTTGCACACCAATTTTCACACTTGCACTTTGCACATTTATACCTGACACTCGTTTTTACACTTAAAGATATTTTTGCACACTTTCGTTTTTTCTCATTATTACTTGAGCATTCATTTGCATTTATTCGTGATCTCTTTGAGAATTCACCATGGGCTATCACAACTCATGTGATTAGGACCAATTGAGCCTCACAAGAGACATTTTGTCCCATTCGAACCAATCATTAGATTTAGGTTTGCATTCATATTAGACGCATCCAAATGCAATACATTTTTTGGTTAGAAATTAAGGAAAATTATGACTAAATCACGCAACTAATTTAGACTAGGGTAAAAGGGTGCCTTAAACTTTGTCTTTGCCTTCCCTTTTATCAACCGTGACCCCCGAACTCGTCTCTCTGATTTTCGTAGGTTAAGAGTCATCTAAAAAGGTTTTTACTTCACTTTTTCTAATGAGGAGGGGCTCAAGGCTGTTCAAACTTCTAGTGCTCAAGTCATGCAAATACCCAGTGGTCCAATTACAAGAGCGCATGCTAGGAGAATTCAAGAATCACTTCAAGCTCTTGTTTGCACGATTCAAGAACGAGTTGGTGATGACTTGAGGACCATTGAAGGATTACATAATGGAGAGACTACTCTAAACACTTTCCTTCAAATGGAAGAACCAAGTGAAGACTAGTTCACGGAGTACTAGCTTGCTAATTAGGGTTTTAGTTACCATTATTAGTTGTTTGTTAGCATTAATAATTTCGGTCAATTTTCACTTCACTTTGGCCGAATTCAGAGTCTTAATTTTAGTCAATTAGTTGTTAGATATTTTCACCCTTAATGAAGGGCAAGGTCGTCCATTGGACATTCTAGGGTTTGAGTCTTGTAAGGCTATATATAGCCTAGGTTTTCATTCATTAAAGGGGAATTCAGATTTTATAAAATATTAGTGAGTTTATTCACTCTCTCTTGCCTCAAGAGAATTTCCTTTGAATACTTGAGAATTAATATCAAGCTGTTCATCGAACTTATCAATCAAGTAGTCTCCTTGATTGTGGCGTTCTTCTAACTATACTTTTGGTTCACTAAATTTGCTCGTCTTGGGTTATGGAGTCTCCTTAGTTCGTGACTTGTGATTCTAGAAGGGTCAAGGTTCCGCAATCAACCCAACTTGGTGTTCGTCTAGATCCGTCGCACATCAGTTGGTATCAAGAGCTAGTCGACGACATCAAGTATATCCCGTTGAGGTTCTTTGTTTTTCTCCTTTTCTTTTCTTCGTAAGTTTTCTAGTATTTTCTTCAAATTTGGTCGTGTCTTTCTTTGTGTCAATCCGTGTGACAATTACAAAAAAAAAAAAAAAAAAAAAAGACAAAGAAAGAGGAATTGCGCGGGTGACAAGAAAGAAAAGGAAATCGTGTTCTTTATTGCCAAGACCTGATTTGCTACACCTTGTTTCTTGAATATTGATTGGCAAAAACAGAAAAATTAAAGCAAAAAAA